GCCCCTACCCGCGCGCCGCCGCCCGCCCGCGCTCGCCCGCCCTCCTCCGCTGCCCCTCTGCCACCGCCCCTCGGGCCCGGCTCGGCTCGGCGCCCCTGGGCTCGGGCTCCCCGCGCCACCGCGGCGGGCGCCGGCTCTTTCTCCACCGCCGCGGCTCTCCGCCCCCTCCCCCCTGACGTCAGGCGGGGGGGTCGAGCAGAGGCCGGGGGCGGGACGCGAAGGCCCGCCCAGGAGGGGGCTGCGACCCGCCGCGACCCGCCGGCCCCCCCGCTCCCGGGCCGGGGGCTCGGATCCCCAGCCCCTGCTGGTGCCCTGCCGCCCCGCGCCTCGCAGTCGCGGTCTGCGCCACAGCGCCGGGAGGTGGGGCGGGGGAGGGACTCCGGGCATCGCCATGGGGGAATCGGACTCACCCGGTCTTTCTGAAGTGTCCCCCAAGGCCAACCGCGGGCTGGGCGGCCGGGCTCGGGAATGGGGCTGAGGGGCTCCCCACGCTGCGGTGACAGGAACGAACGCAAGCAAGCCACCTCAGGGCGAGTATCCGAGGGAGGAGCGCAGGGGAAAGCGAGGCTTCTCTTAGGGCGGACCAGAGTGGTCTGTCTTTTGGCTCCAAATTCTGCTTCGTTTCTTGGCTCCTACGCCCACTGGCCCCTGCAATCAGACTGGCACGGGCCTCACCAGCCAGGAAGACCCCCTAGTCGCCGGAGGCAGTTTGCCCCTTATTTCTCACGCTCCACGCAGAGGGACCCTGCTCAGTGTGCCCCTTCCCAGCTCCCGGTGAAGACAACCCTCCACTCCTGTTGCACAGAGCCCACCCCCAGGAAATGACTCCTGGTGCCACTAGAAGGCTGAATAACAAGTGACATGAGCCCTGATGTTCAGATCAGGGGCTGAGGGGAGCTAGGCAGGAGAAGATCTACTACCTTCAGAGCCGTCAGCCTCCGCCCACAGCCGCTCCTATAAGTAACTTGTAGCTCTGGCCTCCTGGGCGGCGCTGGAGTGTCCTCCTTGCCAGCTGGTCCTCGGAGCTGGGCAGGTGGGCAGAGGAACCCCAGGGAGGCCACCCCATTGGCATCTGGAGACAGATGCCACCTCCTGGCTGGGAGCAAGGGGCAGAGGTGCAGAGACTGGAGGCCCTGAGGCTTCGGTGGTAACTTTCAGCCCAGTGCAGTGGTGGAGGGGAGGAACACTTTAGGGCCTGTCAGCAGATCTGGATTATAAATCAGTCCCAACAGGAGCTTTTGTTCTGGGTTAAAACTTGGCATCTGAAAAGTGGAGCCCAGAAGAGGAGTGGAGATAGTTGGGAAAGGCAGCCCAGTTTGGATTCAGTAACAATTGGGTCTTTGCTAATACACATAAAGGCCCCTTCTCCCACGCTGGCCAAAGCCACATTTCCCAGCTCCTTTTCACCAGAAAAAAAGCTGTGCCCTTGGAGATGCTGGAGATAGGGGGCAAGGCAGTTAACAATAGCACGGGGTGGGCAGGGAAGGCTCTCTGCTTCAGCTGACAGGCAAGGAGGAGGTGTGTGGGACCCCTCATCCACATTAGAGCCTGTGTCTTCTTAAGTGGAGGTCAACTGATTGCAGACTCCCTCATCTTTGTTCTGTGCTTGAGACTTTACAACCTGCCTTCACGTACATTTTCTCACTCCATCCTCATGACCACCCTTTAAAAAGCAGGTATTGTTTCTCCCATCTTACAGATAAAATAAGTCTCAGAAAGGTTAAGCAACCTGCCCGAGTCAGGTAGATAATTAGTAAGGTCAGAATGTTAAATCAGGTCTTGGGACTCCCAATTCTGTCTTTCCACTAAGTCACAGTGTCTCCTGACAACTTTTAGGCCCCAAACACTTCATTTCTTGCTGTTTTTCCTCACCTTCAAGCCTTACCTCCACCCCCACCCCCACCCTCTAGGAGTAAGCGTTACCAGGTGGAGACTTGAGCTCCTGGCTCCACCTGCAAGATGGCCCCAGTGGAAAGTTTCAAAAGGTGGTTTGGTTTCACTGGCAGCGAGAGTTTTCTGTACCTCAGGGCTGGCTTCTCTGTTCCTGCTAACAGACCCTGGGAGCCCTTCCCTCCCAAACGCTCCTCCAAGATAAGGCTGCAGCCCCTCTTCCCTGCTTTTTCTACCTTTGCTCACTTCCGGCTGTGTTCTGTCCATTTCTAGCACTGGCCTTTTCCATGGGTGGGTGGGCAGGGGATAAGTTTCCTGCATGACTACTTGCTTATGATTCACACTTTTTAATAGAAACACAACTGGTCCAAAATGAGAATTCCTGGGTCTTAACATTAAGAAAAAAAATACTAAGAAAAAAAAAAAAGGCTCATGTACCTATCAAGTCTCCCCAGGGCCTGTCTGGCATATTCTAAGATGGAAGGTACCCATCCTTCAGCCCATAGGCCTTGACAGACCCACCTACTTGCCCCATTTGCTCAACAGCTTGTGGCCAAGTCAAGGAAAAGACAGAGATGTGCTGAATGCCTTCTGAGGTCCTCTAAGGATCCACTGGCAGTTCAGGGCAGCCCCTAGAGATGGGCCCAGGAGTCTTACTGAAAAGCAAGGCCCCCTCTCTCCCCTACACATTGTCATGCACCATGGTGCCCGTCGGCTGAGCTCCTTACCCCCTAGCTCTCGTGAGGCAGCTTTCTGACAGGAGAGGGGCCCAGCGTTCACAATGGGCCTCTCTAGTCATGCCTGACCAACTCCCAAGGGAGCCAGGGCTGCTGACTACCCACAGAAGGGAAATGAGAAAGCCTGGGTCAGCCACCCTTCAGGGATCTGCCTGGGGACCGAGGTGAGCGGGGACATAGGAAAAGGGCTTCCTCTCTCCACTTCCTCCTCAAGGAGAGTTATCGAAGCCGCCCACCTGGGAAGCCTTTCCCTTCCCAACCCCTCCCTGCCACCATCACCAAAGGAAGCAGGAAAGTATCCGTCATCACAGCCCCGGATGCTTTTCCAGTGGCTTCAATCAGGATATCCCTCAGCCTTTCCCCAGAGGCTCAGGGATCTGGAACGGGCAAGTGGAGAAGTCGCCAGCACCACCGTGCAGTTCCTGGCCTGGAGGAGGCTGAGTCTCTCACTGGTCCCGGACTAGTTTTAGGAGATCTGGTCAGCTCCCAGCCAGTTCCAGCAAGGGCCCATTACACGTCCCAGGGGATGCCGTGTGCCCTTGGGTGACCTCAAAGTGCACATCTCTGCTCAGGTTACAGCCAGGTCTCTGGAGGGACTGAGTTGTCACCCACACCTCCTCTCTCCTTGGTGTCCATTTCTCTCTTGGGGATGAGAGTGTTTGGGGAGAGGCAGGGCAGTGCACAAGATCCAGGCCTGAGGAGAAGGGCTCCAGATGTCTGCACTGATGGACAGCCTGATCCCTTTCTCAGAGCCAAGTAGGGGCAGCTTTGAGAACTGGAAACTCCCCAGTTCAGCCTCTCAGGTCTCCCTACTCCCTGTCTGCCCTTGGCAGTGAGAACAAAGAAGGGAAATTTCAAAGGTGATTTCCAGGTTTCCAGAGCAAACTGAATAGCTGAGGATTAACTGTCAGGATGTGCAGTGTCAGAAGCAGGGGCAGCCCTCAGGGAGGGTGAAGGAGGCTGGCTCACCAGGGCTGCCACACTTTTATCGGAGCATCTCAGGCCTACCTGATGCCGCTGGGGCCTCAGTGGTGCCCCCAGCCAAGGGGGCCCGTGAGGTGGCCAGGAACAGAAACCAGAACTCTCAATCAAGTGACCTGGGCACCCAAGTCACCCTGATAGAGGGTTCCGCCTCTCACCTGGCAGAGGCTGCAAGGCAGGGAGACGTCCCGTATGGCACCCAGCACTCTGCCCTGGGCTCGTGCCCTCTGAATTATAGATGACCCTCACTCCCAGCATTCTGGGGACCCGGCGAGGGAGGCAGCTGTGTCTAAAACAGCCCCAGGAAGTGACAGGCTACATTTCAGGTCTGCAAATTGAGCCACTCGGCCTGAAAGTCCTTTATTTGGTGGGAGTCTCGCTCCTACTTAGCCTGCCTCACCCTGACCCCGGTGGTATGAAAGCGCAAAAGAGAGGGACACACACACACACAGAAAGTCATAAGCACCCGCCGTGGCGGAGCTCCATCGGTGGACACTCGGGTTGAGCCGAGGGGTGGGCGCAGGCCATCCTCTGCTACTTCCTGTCTACCTCTGGTGGCCCCTGCAAAACCCATCCCAACCCAGACAGAGTCAGGAGGGGCCAGAGACTAGAAATGGATTCTCAGGGTTGGAGGAGTGGGCAGAGGGAGAAAGGGGATACCAGGGATCTCCTAGGGGTACAGAGGGCCTACTCACTTCCCAGGGCGGGCAGGTCAAAGACATCCAGCACCCCATCAGGGACCAGGGCCCACAACACTGATCTTGGCTAGGGCTGAGGGGAAGCAAAAGCAGGATCTGGAACTGTCTTTTGGCACTGCCCCCTCGCTCCTAAGTCTGGGGAGTTGATTCCAGAGCTTAACAACAAACTGAATTAAGTGTAATTACAGCCCCAATCCACCATCTCACTCTGGAGATCCTCCCCGGTGGAGGCGGCCAGTGGGGAGTGGTCCCAGACTAGGTCCAAACAAATGTTCCCCATCCCTGCTCTCTGGGTGTCTGACAGCTCTGGGGCCACAGGAATAACTGCTCTTCCTCAGGATTTACACACAGCCCTCGGCTGCAGGGGGCAGGGCCGAAGACCCGGTCACACGGCTGTCGGAGGTGAGAATCTGCGAAAGCTTCAGCAGAGACGTCAGGCAACTGGACACTGGGCGTTAGCCCTCAGGATAGGGATTGAAGGAAATCTTCTAAACCACAGATGCTGAAATAAGACTTTAGTGTGCACAAAGAAACCTCACACTGGTGACAGAGAGAGAGGAAGGAGGGTAGGGAGGCCCGGGAGGGCCCAAGAGGCCCAGGGAAACCAGAGCTGTGGAGATAAAGACCCTGGGTGAAGAGGAGAGGGCTGGGAGAGGAAGGAGAGCTGAAGGCAGGCTAGGCACCAAGCCAGGGATCCCTTGCCCGGTGGGGTCAGGGACAGCAGAGGCAGGCTCTGGCTTCAACAGACTGGTCCTCCTCTGGCCTCCATTCTTCGCTTCCTCCAGTTCCTCAGGCCCCATTCACTTCCTGCCAGAGCCAAGAGCCCTGGCCTCCCCTGCCGCGCTCTGTTAGATGTCTTTCCAGGGGCTGAAGTACTGGGCCTGTGTCAAGGAGAAACACAGAAGGTGATAGCCGGGGCCCAGGTGGTGCCCAGCGTCCATTCACCATCCTCTACTGGCCTCCTCTGTGCCAGGCGCGGAGTGACAGGAGTCCTGTGGCTCATGGTCCATGCGAGGACTCGGCAGGTCAACAGGCCACTTGACCACAGCCCTGCCCGGGTTCCCTCTACTCACTGCTTGCAGGCCCAGGGCGGTGTGAAAGGAAGGTGGAGCCTACCCCCTGGCTTGGCCAGACCACGAATCACTTTTCTCTCTTTTCATGACAAACACATTGTTTCCCACCAGAGACTAATGGGATCTAGTTCCTTGGGGATTGAGGGTGAGGTTTGCTCTCCAACTTTCTCAGAGACTTGCGAAATCTGAGACCCAAGCCACAGCCTGTGGCTGATGTGTCAGCCCCAAGTCAGAGGTTACCGGGGGAAGGACAGGCAGAGAGAAGTCACAGGAAAGGCGAGTTGGGAGCCGAGGAGCATTGGGAGAGGGGGTGGAGAAACAGTTCTCACCAGACCCAGCTGTCTCCATCAAGGGTTGGGGGCTAGGGGAGGGAAGGGCTCCTAAGCCAGCCGGTGCGGCCTGTCAGAGGGACTGAAGCCAGAAGGGAGGCTACCAGAGCAGGGCTTGGACTGTGCTTAAGTCCGCGGGCTTGGGAGTCAGGCTGGCTCTGTGCCCTGGTTCTGACATTTACACGCTGCCTGTGTGATGGGCAAGCTATTTAACCTCTCACTGACTCGGGTTAGCTTGTTCATCTGTAAAATGGGATCATAACAATACCTGTCCTGTGGAGATTATGTGGATTCATGTAGAAAAGGGTCTTCATTCAATAAATATCAACTATGCATATTATTACCTTGAGAGTCTGAGAAAATTAGGGGTGGGGAGGTTGTTGCTATAGAAATTGGAGGGATCAGGGCAGCCTGGGAGCGTTTCTCCTAGCAGAGCAGGCGGCCAGCCTCAGGCCTGCAGATATGCAGGCAGAGGGTGGACAGCTGCTGCCTCTGGTGCCCCTTCTCGGCACTGCTCATGACCAACTGGCACTCTGGTCCAGGCTCTTCCCTCTCCAGGGCGAAGTTTTTCTTCGCATTTGCTCAGAAGCTGGCTTCTCTGTACCCTGCTCACCACCATCCCCCCACTGGGCACTGGACTCTTGATAAGAATGATGAAGGTCTTCGGAGGCATCTCCACCCTCCCCCCACATCGCCCTCTCCACCCATCTCCCAGCCAGGAGCTCAGCAGCTGCAGTGGGGGTGGACTCGCTGCTGGCTCTGGTCAGCCGCCTGACCACTTCCCTCCCCTCCCAAGTCTGGGGGCCGGAGGGGGCACCACCTGGGGCTGGCAGTGGGTCAGCAGCTCCTGCCAGCGGATGTAGGTCTGGGCTGCCAGGTCCTTGAGTTTGGTCCGGTGCATGGCCTGGGGGCTCTCTCGGATATGGGTGTTGATGTGGCGGTCCAACTGCATGCACAGCAGCTGCAGCTCCCCCTGCGGAGGCGGGCAGGGGGTGGGGGTGGCACAGGCCAGGCACATCCACAGTGGGGGAGGAGGGAGAACGAGTGAGAGAAAGAGAGGGACGCATTTGAGTGGCTGCTCAGAAGTCGGGCAGGAAAGGGAGGAGAGGGATGGGGCAGCTGCTGGGGCACAGGTCAGCATCCCCTGGGAACGCTCGTGGGAGGATGGGGGAAGGAAGAGGCCTGGCTCCCCCAGGCCTGCTGCATTCTCAGCCTCCCATTCTTTGCAGTTCCTGACAGCGGGCTGGGCTAGCCCAGCCTCTTGGGAGACTCACCCATTGGTCTGGAGTAATGTCCTGGCAGCTGACCACCACCTCGGCCAGTGTCAGGAGGCTGTGGCACAGGTAGCAGACCTGGAGAGAGAGGACAGCGAGACAGGCTTCCCTAACTCCTTCACCTCCAGATTCCTTGTTCTCAGGCCTGGTGGGCCAAGGGTGACAGTTTCCAGTATCTTCAAGGAGGGCCCTCGGGCTCCACTCACTCAGAGCTCTCCCTCTGATGAATGACTATCCTCCCTTCCTTCAGGAAAAGAAGAAATCTCTGCCATCCAGAAACCCACTCTGTCACCCAGTCCTGTCCTGGGGCCCCAGCAAAGAAAGCCCACTGTGGGGAGGGGCCTGTGAACTCTGACCTCTGCTCAGTGTCTGTGGTCTCTGCTCTGCTCCCTGAGGCACCCACGCCCATGGCCCTGTGACCGGGTGCCGCTATCCTCTATGGGGGGAACGTGGCCCATGGGTGCCCAGTTTGCCCCTCGTGGGACACCACCTGCACAGACGGATGTGCATCCCTGTCTGCACAGGAAAACCTTGTTGATACGAGGAGGCACGCAACGAGAGAGAGGCCGATGGAGATGGTTTGGGTTAAGCATCTGCGCACCTTACCCACAAACTCATACCCTGACTCTTGCCCACTGCACATTTGAGGAGTGAAAACAGGACAAAGGCCAATTCCATCTGATCAGAGAATGGTTTGATCCCAGGATGCCCTCAGACTCTGTTGGTGCCCATTCATTTATGGGACATTCACCTGCTGTGCAGAGAAAACAAGGTACAGGAAGCACCCCGAAGACAGGCGAGGCTCCTGATGTGAAGACAGCCTGCTCCTGGGACGCTGAGCTCCTGTCTGTGGGCATGCCCCTCCCCCAGTGAGAGGAGCCTGTTGCCCGGTCCCCTTGGCCTCCTTATGTCTAAGATAGGGAGGGTGGCAGGAAACAACCTCACCATCCTGCCCGGGCCAGATAACCAGCCCTGAGGCTCAGCCGGGATGGGAGAGGCGGGCTCAAGTTTGGTGATAAGGGGGCTGGAGCTAAGAACCAGCCCAAGGCTCCCCTGTCCCCCCATTTCCCCTGCCCTTGTCATCCTCCCCTCTTAGAGTACCAGGTGGTGCTCCAGAAACAGCGGCAGCCTCTTTGCACAGACCCAGCAGCCTCCTTTAGGGCAGAAGCAAGAACCACTCTTGAGGGCACCAGACCTGGCACCATCGAGTACTTCTTGAACTCAAATACCACGGTGCAAAATCCTGAGGATGGAGACCACCTGCTCCCCTCCCCCAGCACCTGCCCTGCCCAGAACCTGGCCTGTTCTTTAGCACAACAGCTGAAGCCCACAGGTGGCCGGACCCCACAGGCTGGCCAGGTGGGTAGCCCTGCACGCCAGAGGCACAGAGAAGACACAGTGGGGAAAGCCGGGGGCCCATGGGGCGTGCCTCCCAGTGCTGCCGTGGGCTGGGGAAGATGCAGCCTCTGAGGCAGCTCCACCTGCCGGGTCCTGCAGCTGCCTGTGCCCGAGTCCCCCAGTGGGCTGGCTTGCTGGCAAGCTGCTGCTTCCCACAGGCTCCCCTTCCCCAGCCTGGCCTTGCCCTAGGGAGTCCACAGCATTTGGAACTCCTTCCAAACTCTGCAGTCCTGGCAATAGCTCCCGGCCCCCTCCTCACACAGCAGGCTCAGGCCTGTGTGCCAGACACTGTACCTTGACTAACACAGCCACAAACACTCAGACATTAGAGGGAGAAAGACACTTCATTTGGAGTCATTTGGTCAACAAATACTGAATATCAGCTTCCCCATGAACCAAAAGGAGAAAGGGTCCTTCTAGGTTTTTGGGGGTGGTGGTGATGGTGTGCAGCTCAGAAGGATTCAGGGAGGAAGTGACTAAGCTAAACCAGGCCTCAAAGGAACAGGAGGATTTAAGGTGAAGGTGGCCCTGTAGGGGCGGGGCTGTGGCCGAGATTACACCACCAGACAGATCACAGGGCTGATGCAAGCAACAGAGGCAGGGCACGCTGGGGGACTGACTGACAGGTGGCTGGCTGGGCTGGGGTGGGGGCGGGGGAAGGGAAGGGGCGCCCTGAGGACAGGCCTGGCAGCAGAGGGTCTGGACAGTGGGCAGTGGAGGCCGCTCAAGGCTCTCGAGCAGGGAGGCTGTCAGGGACAGCCTGGAAGCGCCTGGGGGAAGCAGGTGACAGAATGGGCTGGGATGGAATACACCAGAGGGAAAACGCAGCTCTCGCTGAGAAAGGATTACAGGACATCCTTTCTCATTGTTTTTTTTGCTTTTTAAGATCGTTTCTCTACAACGTGTATGCTTTACTCACATAATCAAAACTCAATGGAAGTTTTTAAAATTTAATTTTAAACAAGACCATGCCAATTATAATTGACTGAGTCTAGTTGGGTTTGGGGTGGGTGCAGGGCAAGGGAGAGGGACATGACCGTAAAAAGCAGCAGAGACCCCAGGACTGACACCCCCTTTGAGGGAGTTGAACGAGCTGATGGTGAGGTGGCATGAAATACCAAAGAAAATGTCCCAGGGCAATGGAGCCATCGTTGGTCGGAGGATGATTGGGAAAGGGGTCTGTCTGCAGGGGGTGGGCGGGGCAGAGAGGGAGAGAAAGGGGGCACCTCTCAGACCTTTCACTTGTAAATAGTCCCCAGGCAGGGCGGGGCTCTTCCCCTGGCCCGAGGCCCAGGTGGAGGCCTTTGCATTTCAGAGGCCCCTGTGCTATGTACAATGCCGGGGGCTAAAAGGGACCTCAGAGCCGCCCCGGGATTGGTGCAGAGGCCAGTCCCAGTCCCTGGGGTCCCACCCCGGGATTGGTGCAGAGGCCAGTCCCAGTCCCTGGGGTCCCGCCCCGGGATTGGTGCAGAGGCCAGTCCCAGTCCCTTGGGTCCCAGGCCCCCTGCCCCCTCACCACCCCCTCCTTTGTCTGCAGAGTTGATCTTCCTAGGAGGGAGGCGTGGTGAGGGTGAGCCCAGGATCTGAGGAATGCCCTGGAGGAAAATCTGTGCAGTGGGGATTTACGGAGAAAAAGCCAGAAGGACTGGGCGAGCGTGGTTTCACAACTTCGCTCTTATGCTGGTTCCCATAACTGAATCTGGAGGGAAAATCCCAGGCAAACTATTCTGAATGTGTTTGTTTTGGGGGGTGGAGGCGGGAACAGCAAGAAGGAAACAGCAGTTCTGAAGAAAAGCCCTGTTAACCATATTGTTTAAGCCGATTTTCCAAAGGCCGGGGGGGGGGGCGGGGGGACCTGCCCACTACCTGGAAGGAGGGCAGGGTGTGGTTTTTCCTTGTACTCAAGGGTGATCCCAGGAGTTGGGTCTCGGTGAGGGGAGGCCCTTTAAGGAAGACTTTGATCCAACTTAAGGGGATGAGGTTCCAGCTGTAATCAGAAATCATGACAAAGACAGCAGCAGTCATACTTTGTAGTAGCAGGACTTGAGGAAAAAAGGCTTCATCATTGGCACGGGAAGTGCCCAGACCACCATCTCCTGCCCTCACTTCCTGACACCTGAGGCCTCAGCGTTGAGGAGAGGTAAGAGGGGGTCCCATCTGGTCCAGACAAAGAAGGACAGACGGTTGCACCGGGAGCAGGCCTGGCTTCTTCTGAACTCCAACCTCCTCCCAGGCTCCTCTCCCCTGCCTTGTTTTTGTGAAGGTCGGAAACAAACATTCGCAGAAACTGGGGCTCTGCGGCTAGAAAGAGGCTGGACCTGAGTCTCCTTCTTCTGAAAATCCCGGTGGATTCTGGGAGACCAGAGGCAGGCCCAGGAGTGCCAGCGGGGGTGGGTGAGAGCGGCCGTTCCCGTAGGACACAAAGTAAACAGCCAGGTGTGAGACCTGCGTTTCCTGCTGCAGTAGTGCTGTGACCAATTCCTGAACTTAGCAAGCCCGTTCCTGTCCTGGCTGGCACCACAGTGACGTGGGACTCTGTCTTCCCTTTCAAGAGCTGGCTGGGGCTTGTAGATACCCAGGCCCCCTGCCTGCTCCCATTTCCTCCACAGCTGGAAGCACAAGGTGGCCCTTCCACAGGCCTGAGGTCCCTTCCAAGTCCCTAGGGGGCGTGTGTATGGGAGGGAGTCAGTGTAGCTTCAGGAGAGCAATGCAGAGGCCCTCCTTGAGTGGGGGGCAATGCTTGTCCAGCCTCAGGATCTTGTCTGAAAAATGGGCCCTCACCAGCTCAGGCTGCCCAGCACCTCCCTCACTGGGTGTGAGTGGAGGCTGGGAAGCCTCCATGGGAAACGGGGCCCGGGAAACCTCAGTCAACTACGTGGGGAGGCAGAGTATGAGGGCAAGGAACTGACGTGCCTGAACCCAATGCCGACAAGACAGACTGTCCCGTGCCACGGCTGCCAGCAAGGCCTGCAGCTTCCATCTTCTGGGTTTCTCCCCTGAGTCTGGCAGGCCGACTTTCCTGAGAAGTTCGGTCAGGGTGCCTCCTTCCGGGCTCCAGAGCCTTAAAGCGGGCCCTGCCCTCCCCCTGGGGAAGGATGACAAGGGTGAGAGATAGGAGACAGCTGACTAGACTTGTCACCCACCGAGGCAGGGAAGGGGAATGGGAAGGTCAACGTCTCCGTGTTCTGGTCCAGCTAGTTCTGACCCCAGGAACCACAAGTTCTCCTTTGCAGCACTTTCGTCATAAGACGAAAGGGAAAAAGGGTGGCCATTTCCCAGGAACTTCATCCTTTAGAAAATTCCCCTCTAGCTAATGCCAAAGGAGCAGGCTGTGGCCTGGGTTATTTATGCTAAAAAAGGGCAGAAAGGAGGAGGGAGAGGATCTCCCAGGAAGCCACTCACTCTGGCCAAAACATTTTGGTTTCTCCCATCTCCGGTTATGACCAAGAACCCGGGCTTACCCCAGGAGAGTCTTCAAACCAACCTCTTTCCCTGCAGGCTGCCAGGCCGGGTGGGGATGGCAGATCTTGCCATTGGCAGGAGGACCCTGTGGGACCAGGTCCAGCCAGGCTCTGGGGCAGCTGCTGTGGGGGCTTGCGGGGGCGCGGTGCAGGGGAAGAACTACGGCTGACCCAGGAACAGCTGCTGAGGAGGATGGAGACTGACCCAAGGACACTGCC